ACTACTACTACTACTACTACTATACCACTACTACTACTACAACTACTACTACAACTAAAAAACCAACTACTACATACGACGACTACAAACTACTACTGTTCACTATTTAACTACTACAACTACTACTACTTACTACTACACTACTACAACTACTACTACTACGACTACTACTACTACTACTACTACTGACGACTACTAACTTCTACTACGAACTACACAACACTACACTACTAACTACTACTACTACTACGAACGAACTACTACTACTACTACTACTACTACTACTACTACGGTTACTACTACTACTACCACTACTACTACTACAACTGCCTACTACGACTACTACTACTACTACTACTACTACTACTACTACTACTACTACGACTACTACTACTTCTACTAGTACTACTGCTGTTACTACTACTACTACTACTACTACTACTACTACTACTACTACTACTACTACTACTACTACTACTACTACTACTACTACTACTACTACTACCATCGACAACTACAGGATAATAATCAGAGGGGGGACGGCGGGAAGCCGAGAGCTCAGGGGGGGGGCCTCGACATGAAAAACCACCAACGTTTATGTTCCAGGCTGGAAAGACCCACCACACGGTGCGGCCACCGCACCGTATGGGGCGGGGGCCGTCGACGGAGACCCGGAGGAGCGCGCCGGAGGCGGCGCCAGAGGTGTGTTTTCTTACGGCAGGCTCGTGTCGTTAAAATGAAGCCAGGACGAGCATAAAATCGGGTGAGGATATATCGAGAATCTCTGAGCGCCCGCGGCCCTAGAGGATGTCTCCAGCGCGGCGGCCTTCTAAGAGCGCTCTGGAATGCCCTGGGAACGTTCCAGAAAGCTCTGGAACGGACTTATCCTCGTCCCAACCCCGTCCGAGTCGCGTCGACCACTGCGTTGGCTCCTGACTACCTGCCAGACATCCCGGCCGAACCCGAAGACATCGATTTCGGGCTACGAAGGGTACGGGTTCCACATGTGTTTCTTCAATGTTCCCTGACGGCCCCCCCACTGGGAATGCAAGGCAAATTGGGGCCTTCGGTTAGGTTGGGGTGGTTTGATGGGCGGTGAGGTTCCTGACGCCACGAGGATCCTCGGTCAGCCGTTTCCCAAAAGTCAGATCGCTCAGAATCGACCGATTCTGGGTCGCAGGCGGCGCTCAAAGTTGAACGTTGGCGGCGGGGTCGCCGCCGGTCGACACGACGCGAACCGACCGTACTTGTTTCTGGTTTTCCTCGGCGGCGAGCCCATGGGGGAAGAGGGCATATTTGTTGATCCCCCCGTAACGTCTGTGAGGGGGCGTGTCTGGCCGCCGCGAAGGGGTAACGGTAACGTGGCGGGCTCGGGCATGGTAATGGCAAGTGATGGTAGTAGCGACGACAACGACAACGACAACGAAGACAACGGCAACGAAGACGCATTACCAGTCGCAGCCGTAACAGCAGCATGAGAAAAACGAGGAACAGAAGGAGGAGCAGCTGGAGGAGGAACAGCAGGAGGAGCTTAGAAGGAGCAGGAAAAGAGCATCACGATGAGCAGCGAGACGAACAGCAGGAGGATCAGCAGCAGGAGCAGCGCAGGAGGAGCAACAGGAATAGCAGCGAGAGTGGCGGCCAGAGGACAAGCACGAGGAGGAGCAGGAAGGGGCAGGAGCAGCAGGATAAGGGGGGGAAGAACAGCAGCATGAGCAGCAAGGGGAGCAGCCAGACGAGCAGCAGCAGCAGCAGCAGCAGCAGCAGCAGCAGGATGAGCAAGATGAGCAGCAGGAGCGAAAGCAGCAGGTGCAGCAGGCAGCAGCAGGAGGAGCAACAGGAGCAACAGCAGCCTGGATGAGGAGAACACCAGGGAGCAAGAGGAACACCGGAGCAGCAGCAGGAGTAACAGGAGCAGCAGAAGCAGCAGGAGCAGCAACAGCGATGCCGCATTCCCGTCGTTCCTGCCGTTCCGGGCGAACCGAATGCTTGTTAACACCAAAGCATGCCTGTCAGCACCACACCCAGCCCGTGAGCATAGCGCCATACCTGAGGGAGAGCCGGCACCCCCAGCGCGTACACTTGGTCCCGTTACAGGCGGTACGGGTTCGACTAAGGAAAAAACGCTGTCGAAGTTGGAGGGGGCAGGCCTTCTCAGAAGGCGGCGGGCCTTCTCAGAAGACCCCCCGTCCTCTGAGGAGCCGTCCCTGCCTTCGGAGATCTTCGGAGCTGGCTCGGAGCACTCTCGAGACGGCGCGAGGGCTTCTGAGGCGCCCCGCCGCCTTCCGCGAAGGCCTGCCCCCTCCCACCCCCCCCCAGGGCTCGCCGCCGCTCCCCGGGGATGGGGTCTCGAGAGCTCCGGGGGCCCTCATCGCGAGGAGACTAAGACGTCGGGAGCGGGGGGGGTCTGGCCATCGCTCGGACGTCCATTCCCTGTGTTTTTTGTTCGGTTTTGTGCGTAGTTTTTTCGCCAAATGATCAAGGATGCTCCTCGATGGTCCTCGCCGAAGGAAAAATGCACACGTCCGAGCGATGCCAAGGGGTCGTAGCTGCCCCCTCCCTGCCCGCCGGCGAGGGGGATGGCTCCTCGCAGAACCTGTCCAGGCTCCACAGCGAGACGTCCTCTCGTTCTGCGGCCCGCAGAGCGGGGTGGCGCTGGGGGAGAGGCCCTGCAAGGAGGCAGGATGCTCCTTGCCCTGATCTTCCAGGGGGCTAATGGAGGATCGACCTCCAGACCTGGAGATCTCCCTGGACCGCTCGACAGCCTCGACTGGAGTTCGAGTCCAAAGGTCCCTGTGCTGTTGTGTGCAGCCCTCCTGGAGGGTCGAGGCAGGAAGGGGCCAGAGGCTGCTCAGAAGGCTGGGGGGCTTCTGGGAAGCCCCATGCCTGTTCAATTCACACAACAGGAAGAAATTACATCCACGGTGGAGACCAGTCCACAAGAATCCCAACCCTGAGACCCCAGGACGTCCATTGATTATAGTGTGGGACTGTCGCTGTTTCCATGGCAAAACCATCGAAAACCCATGAAACCAAGGGCACCCTGGAGGCAAGCAGGGTGTTTCTTGGCATGGGCCTCCACTGTACACGTGCACAAACTTCCGGAGGCCTTCGCGCATTGGTTGGAGCTGCGCTGAGTCCCCCGCCCTGGCGCGCGGAGCGCGCCAAGGGTGGCGACAGAGGCGCCGCCAGGGGGGGTCCAGCGCCGGTCCAAGACCTTTTCGCGGGCCTCCGAGAGCGTACGTTTCATCTCCCTCGGAGGGTAGGAGGAGGAGGAAGAGGAGGAGGAGGAGGAGGAGGAGGAGAAGCAGGAGGAGGAGCAGAAGGAGCAGAAGGTAAGATGAGGAGGGGCCAGAGGAGCGGGAGGATGAGGTAGGAGGAGGAGGAGGAGCCGGCTGGAGCAACACGAGGAGGCAGGAGGAGGTAGGTGGGGGCAGTGAGGAGGTTCCGAGGCAAGCTGAGCCATCATACTGTGGAGCCCTGCCGTCGAAGCATGTCTTCCTCGAATAGGAGATTCGCCATCGCTCGGGCGCCCATTCCCCGTGCACGTGTCGGTATCGTGCGTGTTATTTTGTGATGCCCGATGATCCAGGATGCTCCTCGATGGTCCCCGCCGGCAGAAATGCACGTCCGAGCGATGCCAGGTATTGAAGCGAACTCTATATACGAGAGAGCGTGATCCACCGCCGCTTTACTGTGGAAAATTGCCGCCCTTTTCCTCCGGAACCCGGGGTTCCCCCCCGCCATCCGAAAATCCCCTCCTCCCTGCTGGGCCCCCCCCCCCCCCTTCCCCCAGCAAAACGCCCCCCCTCCCCTAACCCCTCCCCCCCCTTCGAACCTTCCCCCGGCAAAACCCCCCCCCTCCCCTACCCCCCCCCCCCCTCGAACTCGAAAACCGGGGGGGGTCACTACCGGTTCGAACCCCCCCCCCCCCAAAAACCGGAGGGGGGGGTCACTACCAGGTTCGAACCACTGAGCTGTCCCACTGTTCCCACCACTGTCCCCCTGTCCCTACCACTGTCCCCACTGTACCTCTGTCCCATTGTCCCACCGCCGTCCTCGCCACCGCCTTCACCACTGTCCCCACCACCACTGTACCCTCCACTGTCCTACTGTTTCCACCACATTCCCATTGTCCCCACACCACTGTCCCCACCACCACCGTCCCCACCACTCTACCCTCCACTGTCCTACTGTTTCCACCACATTCCCATTGTCCCCACACCACTGTCCCCACCACCACCGTCCCCACCACTGTCCCACAGTCCCCAGTGTCCCCACCATTGTCCTCACCATTGTCCCCACCACCACCGTCCCCACCACTGTCCCACTGTCCCCACCACTGTCCCGCTGTCCCCTCACCACTGTCCCCACCACCACCGTCCCCCCACTGTCCGCACCCCCCCTCTCGGTTTTCGAGGGGGGGGGGGGTTCGAACCGGTAGTGACCCCCCCCGGTTTTCGAGTTCGAGGAGGGGGGGGGGGGTTCGAACCGGTAGTGACCCCCCCCCTTTTCATGATGAACTGTGGGGGGGGGGAGGGTTCGAACCGTAGTGACCCCCCTGGTTTTCCAGAGGGGGGGGGGGAGGGGTTCGAACCGGTAGTGACCCCCCCCGGTTTTCCGCCAGCAGCGGTAGAACACGCTCTTTCCTATATACCGACGCTTGTTTCGGCTTTGCCATGAAACTTGCGGAAATCGGATCCAGATGTATACGGGACCCTGGTGTATACATGTTTCGTTGTTCCCGCGGGAAGCGGATGCAGAAAGTATGCACCACAGCACCCCAACGTCGTCCCCGACCCCCCCCAAAGTCCTGGGATTGAAAAGCAGCCCGCCGCTGGTATTGCATTATGCTCCAGTCTCCGAACATGCACGTCCGAGACATGCCAAGATCATTCCTCGATCAGGTCAGGTCTCCTGCCTGCGCAAATTGAGCAGGGACCGACCGCCCCAGCATTCCTATAGACCTACCACGAGATGTCCGTAGAACCCTAAAATGTTCTAAGAACACAAGCAGTGTTGTTAAAACATGCCCCCCCGATGCGTTAAAACAAGACAGTCCCAGCAAGAACTCTTCTAAGAACAGGTCGCGGCAACCACAAGAGCTTCTTGGAACATGTTTTGGTAGGCCTCTAGGCGAGCCGGGACGCTTCGCCACTGCCTGCGCAAGCGCCCCCCCCCCCCCCGCCGCCCTCTGCCCCCCCCCGCTCTGCACGCCGCGGGCCTCGGCGGCGGCCTCGGGCGACCGCGCCCGCGCCACGACGCACACCGCGGGGAGGCCCCACGCGTCGAACATGATGGACATCTCGAAGACGTCCACGTCCACCCTCCTCGCTCGGAGGCGACGATGGGGGGCGAACAGCCCAGGGGGGGAGCAGTACACGCATCCAAGGGCGCCGAGAATCCATGTCTTCGACAGGGCGCCCGGGCGAAGACGTGCAATCCCCGCCCCTGGGCTGTTCGCCCTTGTCGTCGCCGCCGACTCTCGGCGGCAACTCGTGGGAGCCTCCCATACCCATCTCGTCGGCTCTCGCGAATCGACGCGCGTCGACGCTGGCCGACGCTGAACCCACGCTAGCCGACGCTGAACCGACGCCAAATCGACGCTAACCGACGCTGGCCGAGGCTAAATCGGCGCTAGCCGACGCTAGATCGACGCTGAATCGACGCTAATCGACGCTAAATCGTGGCTAAATCGGCGCTTATCTCATCGACTCCCAGACGCTAATCGACGCTAGCTGACGCTAAGGACAAAATTCAGATGGCATACCATTAGGTCGGGCCTGTCCCCCTACAGGGGGATTTTGGACGAACAATGAAACATGGCAGAACAATGCTCCCCAAATGATCAAGCATGGTGGACAACATCGTCCCCAGCCTATCTTTTGATTATGTTTGAATACTCATCCTGTAGAGGGACAGGCCCGACTTCAGCACACCAGGCTCCCTCAGCTTGCTGCCGAACCCCCCTTTGTTTCATGAGCGGCGAACACACTCGCAACCGCTCGGACACGCCCACTCCACCGTGCACGCTTCGACGTCGCTGCGCGCACTTTTCCTCGCGGGATTTCGTCATTTTCGATCTCGTGTTTCTTTTCTTCGACGTCGTTTCGACGTCGTTGCGCGTATGTTTCGATCTCGATGCGCGTGTTTTTTTCTCGCGGGAGGCAAGGAAACTGCTCCTCGAGGGCCCTCTCCAAACACAAAAATGCACACGCCCGAGCGATGGCAAGAGCAGATCCGCATCTGCGCTTGGGCGCTGCGTCATGGGGAGGGGGGCGAAGAATGGGACAGGGGGGGGGGGGGCGTGCACCTGCCGTGCCCCTCTCGGGCCCCAAGGGGGCCCCTGTGGGGCACAACAGGTGCCTTTTTCTTCACACCCCCGCTCCTCGCCCCCCCCCATGACGCCACGCCCGACTCGCCCTCGCGGTCTGGATTCTGAGGCGCGATGCCGCGGATACGTACGCGGTCGCACGGATACATACCGCGCAGAACATCTGGGAAAACGCGCCCCCGCACTATCCGCGGGGTCCCGGCCAAGGAGCCCGGCCCGCGAAACCGCGGCCGCGGATCTATTTTCCTCGGCCACGACTCCTGCTCGGGGCCGTCTGCTCCAGGTAATCGTTCGCAGTCCTGAGGGGCATCGTCATCTTTTCTTCTTTACCCACAACGAAGACGCAGCCGCTAAGGCCCCTTGAACGCGACCTGGGGGTGAAGAGCTCCCCTGACTCTCGGCGTAAGCCGAAGGTCTTATGTACACTATGTACCAGTCCTGAGGGGCATCGTCAGGGGCGACCCCGGCTCGGGGGAACGGGCATCGGGCTGGAAGCGGTGACGCGCGCCGCCGGCAGATCGGCGATAGGATCCTGGCGGCAAAGCCGCACGCTCCCGCGAAAGGGGGGGCGGTCGGCCCCTCTCGGCGAGGAGTGGGCCATTGGGGGGCGATGCGTCCCCCTCCGATTCCACGGTCGGCCCGTGTCCTAAGGTTGCGCGGCAAGGATGCACAAAGGGCCTTGGGAGACCATTGCGAAGCTTCTCGAGCGGGGTGCGGCCAACGAAAGTGGCCAAGGACGGGCCGAGGAGGCAAGGATGCAAGGGTACCCTTGGGAAGGGTGCCCATCCTTACCATGCGGGCTGACTATTAATTATCCCCCCCCCAGCGTTGCCACCAAAGAGTCCCGATGATCTCCGAGGCGCGCTTCGCCTGGGCCAGCAGGGTCTTCGCGTCCTCGTCGCCGTAGTCGCTCCGGACCAGCTGCATGGCCTTTCGCAGCCCGTTCTCCCACTGCGGGTCGACCTGGGGCCCGCCGAGAAGGGGCCCCGCTTTCGGCCATGGGGGTCGAACAGAAGTTGCATCCTGCAGGATGGCAGGAGATGGCAAGGAGGCCAGCGGAAGCCTGAAATGAGGGCCGGCCCGCCAGGGGAAGCAGACTATACTCGACGAGCGCGCTCCACGACTCGCAAGGTAACTACTCGCAAATGGCCTGGATCCGCCGCGGGGGATCTACGATAAATCTCATCGAGGCAAACATCAGTTTTTGTTCGGACGCTTGCGAGTAGGCACTTTGCGAGTAGTGAAACGAGCTTAATGATATATCCCCCAAGAGATGTCGACTTTCTTTAGATCCAGCTCCTTGCAGAGTGCTTGCCCTGGAGGGGGTCTTATTTCCATTCTGCTCGAGTAATTGGTCGGGTTGCCCCGTGCCGCCTCGTGGGCGTCCGTGGGCGCTCTGTGCGCTGGGTGGGTCGGCCGAGGTCGCGCCACGCTGCCGCCCCGTGCCGCCCCTTGCCGCCTCGTGGGCGCCAACTGCGCTAGGTGGGTCGGCCGAGGTCGCGCCATGTGGCCGCTAGTGCCGCCTCGTGGGCGCCCCGTGCACTGAGCGTGCATCACGCAGCTTCCGCCCAATACCTCACACGACGTAGATATCACCACTCAGCTTACACCGCATACCTTACACCACATATCATACTAGACACCACATATCTTACATCGCAAAGCCTTCACCGCCACCTCACACCTGATGTATTACACCACATGGCTTTCACCTCTATAGCTCAAGCCACATAGCTTACACGGCATTGTTCATACCACATAGCTTACGCCGCATAGCTTCGACCTCCACATGTGCAATCACGGACTGTTTTGGGTCCATGCTGGCTAGCCTCGTTTAGTTAGATGCTGGTGCGTTTGCTATCATGGAGGTGGGGGGGGGCTCCCCCGCGATCCCCTAAGGGAGAAGTGGTCATCATGCAAATCGAAAGCTACGTGCAGGCTTTCCCGTCCCAACGCCGAATAAAAAGGCGGCGAGGGGGAGGCACAACATCATGCAAGTAAACGTGCTATAATCTAAATGGCGATTTGAGACACTCCCTAAACCCAAAACGGTTTCATTTCTTGGGGGTACATCTTTTGCTTGCGCCGCCTTCCGCCGAGTTTCCGCCACCTTTCGCCGGCTTCTGCCGGCGGAGGCGGCCTAGTTCTACTTTCGCCGACCTTCCGCCGCCTTCCGCCGCGGAAGAGATGACAACTCCTTCGATCCTCGAAGTCAAGGCCTGTTGGAACGCCTCAAAAAAGAAAAGGCTCTTAATTCAGACATTTGGGAGCCAGCCACCTGCACACAGGCTTCTATCTCCTCCATTGCGGCCTCGAAATCGAGAGCGCCGTTTCCCGTTCCGCCGTTCTGCGGGCTATTCGGGATGTGCACCTTGAAGATTGCGGCCCGCCCTACAGCTAAACGGTCGCCGTCAGCCAACACGTGTCCGGCCATTTCGACCAGGACGCCGTTGATCCTCACCAAGCAGTGCTCGTTGATGGGCTTCACGGACAATCGAACGTTGTCCACGTTTGATATCGCACAGACCTCAGCACTGATGCCGGCACCGGCGAGCCGCACTCTGCAGCGCTCCTCGTCCGAACCAATCACGGAATCACCAGTCGGCAAGTAATAAACCAAACAGCCCTTCAGGGCAGGGTCCGGGTGCAAGTTCATCAGCCTTGGCGCGCAGGCCAAGTCCTTCAACGAGATCGAAGACTGTGCCCCACAACCATCCCGTGAATTCGGCCCGGGTTTAATCACCGCGGAGACGGCAAACGACAACCCATGGAGGCCTCCTAGATGGGGTCCGAGCAGATGGGGTCGGAGGATTGCACCGCATCGCCGATGTATCGGCAATGAACACGCGATGCATCGGCGAAGTCGGCGATGCATCGGCGACGTCGGCGTTGAGAACATCGGGCTCCACACTGAGACGCATCGCCGATGCATTGGCGATGCGGCACGATCCTGTGACCCCGTCTGCTTGGACCCCATCCAGGAGGCCCAGGTCAACACCGCGGAGAAGGCAAAAGACCTCCAGGACCCGTCTCCCTCAGGACCCCATCATGACCGGAGGGGGGCTGGCTTTCGACTCATGACTCGGGCCTCCGGCGGCCACTCGGGGCGATGCGGGCAGCCCCCGAACGCTTTGCAGCTTCTGAAGCCCACCCCGAAGCTGGAGAAGCCCTCCGGGAACCCACGAAATGGGGGTGCAAAAAGGTACCGATACTGCTGCTCCACGGGTCCTGGGGTGCATTCCGACAAAAACCTCGGGGAGCATCCACCCGTGGCGACGAGGGCTCTCCAGGACGAGCAGCAATACCGGCTAGAGGATATAAACGCAACTTCTGAAGCGCAAAAGCAAGCGGGAGATAGCTGCTGGAGCGCTCGAGAGAGCCCCTCGGGAACGCACGGAAACGCCTGAAGCCATCCTCTGACATCCGCCGGTCTGATATTTTGAATCCGCGACCCCAGCGGCCCCGACTCCTTCTCTGGAGGGTGGAAATCCGTCCTGGATCCGTTTCTGGGGGCCACGGAGGCCGAAACGAAAGAAAAGCGCCGAGCTAGTAAAAAAAACATGTTCCCACAGCCCTGGGTCGAAGCCCGAGTTCTCGAGAAACCGAATGGAAGGGAGGAGGGAAGAGGGGGAGGAGGAGGGGGAGGAGGAGGAGGAGGAGGAGGAG